ATGATTAAATTTGAGAAACTGCAGTTACTATTCAAACGTATGAGCACTCCGCAGACAACATACAAAAAAAAACACGTAGTTAAAAATGCATTTAAATTGCTTAATGACTACGATTATGAAGTACTTACTATTAAAAATTCAGGAAACTCGCCCATAAATCATTTCTTAATTAACAATGCTTCAAATAATAATTTATACACCAACTTATTTTCCTATAATAATCTTAAAAATATAAGGTGTTAAACAATAAGATGAGGTTTTAATTCAGTTAAATCTGAAGTGAAGTGAAAAAAGCTGAACTAAAATATCACTATGGAAACATATGTATACAAAACAATATGCCGTTCAAAACATAGGTTGTGAAATCAAGCATTTGCTTTCGAAAAATAAAGTCTTTAAATTGCATTTGACAGAAAAAAAAATGAAAAATTGGAATTTTTGTAGAATGTGAAAATAATTAATCATAATGGACACAACTAACTCAAAATTTACTTTTAAAACTAGGTAAGTGGATGCATGAAATTTTACGCGAAATGATTAGAAAGAGTATGTTATTTTTTTAGTTTGCTCAAAAATGTGTGTCGTAAAATACTTTTTTTAATGATGAAATTATTGTTTGGTATTTGAAGGCCCGAATTTTAACATCAACAGCACTCTTTTTTTTTCCGGGAGGGCGTCACATTTTATTTCTATTACCTTTACAATTTTCTAAAACAACCATTCGAGTATGAACATAATGAATGAATGAACTTGACCTTTTAATTTTAATTACTACCTAAAGCAGTTATTAATGAAAAATAAATTAATTAAATAAGATATTTATCACAGAATGTTACTGAGTTTTTACAATCTTGCTTTTGCCAAATAAATTAAGTAAATGTTGATGCCTCTAATCAATTCTTGGCTACTGTCACTCCACTCCGGAAAAATTTCAAAACCATAACTTAAGTACTTTTTCCGTATATCAGTTAATTGATTGCTTACAGAATTTTGAATTTGAATTTAAAAGGAAGGGCTTATTTTTAAAGGTGGCAACACAACTATTCTTCATCTTCTAAAGTATTTGATTAAAACAATTTCTCGTACAATAATACGCCGCACTATTCCGTTTTGAGGGCCGTAAAAAAATTGCAGCGATAATGTATGCGCAAAAGCGCCAAATCTAGCAAACGCACCCATTTACAGCGCGCCAAATGTAGCGTACGCGCTGATTTCAGATTGCGTAAGTTTATATAGTTCTATATTTCGTAAGACGCCATTGAAATACTAGTTTAATTTTTAAATCCTCTTTTGATTTTAAATCCTTTTTTGATATCCTATGGATTTAACAATTTGGGAATTGCCCATGACAAAAAGTCGGAAATAGAATTTTGGGTAAAGTGCAGAATTACCCACTGCTAGACGCTTTTTTAAGAATTGCACATACTCGGTATCCATGTGCACATCGACCTATTTTCACTTAAAAAAAAATTCCCAGAATTGCACAAAAATGGCACTGCGCACACCCTTGACTTTATCTATGTACACATCGACCTATTTTCACTTAAAAAGTAAAAGAAAATTGACAAAAATCCAATTGTTTTTACCCTTCTACAAAGCGGCAAATAAATAAGTGAACGATTCCGCCCTTTACCGAGTATATTTTCAAAGAAAAGGCATCATTCATTATAGAAAATAACGTTTGAACAACCAGCGAGATGAAATTATGCTTTACAATAACTTTGTAGTGAAATAGCGATGCAGGCATCCATTCAGTTATGTTCAGCAATTTTTATATAAATTATAATAATGATCTGAAATAGTTATTTACTCTTATGCTTCCATTCAGTCATGTTTAGCCTTTTTCCTATAAATTATAATATTAAAAAAGTATTATATGAAATTAACCTTTCATCTAAATTAAAGCATCAGTCTTACATAGTTATTTACTATTATACTTCCTTTCTTGCCGCAATTAGTAGGGTTGCCGCAATTATTTTTGGCAGCATTGGCATCAACAATAGTTTGGCGATTTTTACGGTCCTCGAAAGCGAATAGTACCGAATGCGCTTTTCAAAGATTATGAGGTTCATCAAAATTTTTTATTATAAGCCTTATAAAGTTCCAAACTAGAATTTACAGTTATGTGTGTGGAACTTTGAGAATTGGTAAGCGAATAATCGCTTTAGCTCAGGAAATAGAAACGTAAACTCAAGAAGAGTTAATCACTCTTTATTGCTCAAAATAAGCATTAACAGATAGCCCTTTCTCAGAACGTTCAGAAAAGCCTTCACTTCGGCTTTTACTCAAAACTATTAAGAAAATAAGAATTAACTAATGCTTAACTAAAAAAGATAGAGCCAAAGCTATCAAAATTCTACATGAGTTGGCCTTTAAATGTTTAATGAACCGCGAAGCTATCAAGGGACGAGCTATAGCTTATACGGCCGAGCGCGGTAACAACTTAGATAATAAGTGTCTAAACTATGAACGTTTGAAGACCGCTTTGCAAAGGAAAAAAATTTGCGGGGCCACACATTTTTTTGTATGCTGCATTCTTGAAAATAATTATTCCCAAATATAGGTACTGCTAAAAGCTGAAGACATTAATAAAGCATGATTGTGAAAATTAGAATATTTATCGTGGGGTAGGTAACCTTTATAAAACTCCAGTAAAAAAACAATTTCAAATTTTTCTTTCTTTTGAATGTCACTTTGCAGTTAATACATCATGATATACTAAGATGTTTTTATCTAAATTTTTATTTTAAAATAAATGCCAATAAATCGATTATATATGAATCAAATTCAAACATTTATTTTTTAAATAAAAATGTGTAAATTTAAATACGTTCGTAATATGCGTTGGGGCCGCATTTTAAAGAGTTTTGGACCGCACTTTAGACCCCCATGGCTTAGAGAGAGAGTGTAGCCAAATGGTAAACGCGCGCTAGTCTGAATCTCTGCCTCTCTAACGTGGTCAGTGAAACTTCGACTTAAGTACTACTCTTCCTTTATTTGCATTCAACCGCGATTCTAACAATATAGTCTCGCCGGAAATTTGTAAGCTGAAATTAAAAGGGATAGGAAAGTAACTTCAACTAAATATAACTGTTAAAAACTTAGGATAAAACTTGTATCCTTACAGGGGTCCGTGACACATAGCCAACAACTACTTAGCCCACGGGACACTTAACCGACACCATTTAGCCGACACGGACACTTAGCCAACACGGACGCTTAGCCGACAGGACATTTAGACGACAAGACAGTTAGCCGACAAAGACATTTAGCCAACAAAGACATTTAGCCGACAAAGACACTTAGCCGACAGGTCATTTAGCCGACATGGACAGTTAGCCAGCAAGACATTTAGCCGACAAGGGCACTTAGCCGACAGGACATTTAGCCGACACGGACACTTAGCCGACAGGACATTTAGCCGACTAAGCACTTAGCCGACAGGTCATTTAGCCAACAAGGGCTCTTAGCTTAGCCGACAGGACATTTAGCCGACAAAGACACTTAGCGGACAATGACACTTAGCCGACAGGACATTTAGCTGACAAAGACACTTAGCCGACAGGATATTTAGCCGACAAAGACACTTAGCCAACAAGAGTTCTTAGCTTAGCCGACACGGACACTTAGCCGACAGGACATTTAGCCGACAAAGCACTTAGCCGACAGGTCATTTAGCCAACAAGAGCTCTTAGCTTAGCCGACAGGACATTTAGCCGACAAAGACACTTAGCCGACAGGACATTTAGCCAACAAAGACACTTAGCGGACAAGGGCACTTAGCTGACAGGACATTTAGCTGACACGGACAGTTAGCCGACAGGAGATTTAGCTGCGGGACAGTTAACTGTCAAGACATTTAGTCAACAGGACACAAAGCCGACAGTGACGTTTAGCTGACGCTTACCCAATAATTATTTAAATTTACAATCAATTACAAAATTTCTTGACTTCTCCATAAGTTCAATATGTAAATTATTTTTTTCGCCTATCAGTAACAGATAAAATTCATTTTTCGATTCTTAAAGATCTCATATGTGCTTTTAATTCTTGTGTAATTTAGCATTGTATGATCTGCATCGTGCTATTTGGTGTACATTGGCCAAATTGAAAACGCGTCGAAATTTCTCGTCAGGGAATATGAATTAATTTTCGAAAGGAAAAAAAGAATTTGTTTAGCTAAGTAAGTAGGTTAGCTAAGTACAAGCTTAATAAGGTCAATTATATTTTAATATAGGATCTTCAAAAATTATCCGTAAAGCTTCTTCATTTAATAACTGGGTTCCTTTGAACACTTTCACATTATTGATAATTTTTCTTGTTTATTTAATTATACTTTCCCAATCTCGCTCTTCCTTAATGCTTTCAAATTTATAATACCTTCACGTTGTTTCGCTACTATTTTACTCAAAAAAAAAAAAAATTATTCCTGAATTATAGTTTTTATCGAAACACTGGTGGTGAAGGGTTAGTTTAGCAAATATATTTTACTTAATTAAAAACAATTAAAAATAAGAGAATTTTTAAGACAAGCAAAAGCTTTGTCTTATTTGTGATCTCTATAATAGGCAGTGGTAAAATCACAATCTCGCTCCCACAGGTTTTTCGGCTAATCACCAATCCACTGGAACTTAAAAATTACTAAATTTAAATTTATTCTCTGAAATCAAGGATTTTAGCCGAATTGTTACTCTGATTCTTTGTATGTAAACAGTTTGGAAAAACGTATAATTCTCACCTTAAGTCAACTAGCGAAGAGGGTAGGCTTAAGGTAATACAAAAAACCTATGAATCTCGCTTGAGATGATGAATGAAAATTTTGCCAAATTGATTCTGTTGTCATTTTAATTTCAGCTGTTGTTGTTGCTTATCATATGTACGGACACAATATGAAAGTCTGAACAGCTAATGTTCATGAATATTCATGGCTGGATCAAGCTGCACAGACTTTATGTACGTAAGCATTAAGCCTCGTTTCCACTACTGCGTACGAACGCGTTGCGTCAATTGAAGACACTCCTACGGCACCCGTACAAGCGTTTCCACTGCCGCGTATCCGTAGAAATATTTTCAATTTTCCGCCGCTAGGTGTCACTGTAATATTTTAGCACCCAAACAAGCAGTTCGCGAGTTACGACGCTAAATATCTGAATTTTTTTCCGCTTAAGCGAGTATTGTTTTTGTTTTGGATTTGATATGGATCCTGATGTAAAACGCAGAAAAGTTTTGTTTACTAAATTCCATGTTATTGGAAATTTTTATTTCTTCTGCTTATGAACTGCGAAAGTAAAGTACGCTAGCAATTTTTAGATAAGTTAGGTTATAATGCATATTATAACATCACTATTCCATATGAACATCACTAATTCCATAGAAGCTGAAGTAAATTTTAAAAAAAATTGCGTTTCTAGAAGCCTTAAATATTAATGAAATAATATAAATTTAAACAAATTTAAATTCTAAACAAATACGTATAAAAGTAAAAAAGTAGAAAAGCAAATTTA